TTCTCACCATCTCTGTGTGAGTCTTTATCTCTGAATGCTTTACTCCCTCTCTCTCTCTCACACACACATACACACACTCATGCACACACACACACACTCATGCACACACACACACACATGCACACACACACACTCATGCACGCACACACTCATGCACACACACACACACACACACTCATGCACACACATGTAAATTGTTCCCAGCAGCTCAACCAGCAGCCCATCCTGCCAAAGGTCAGCAACAGTTACCAGGTCACAGAGAATCTAGGTCAGCAGTGCAGAGTTCAAGCCCCACTGAGATTTATCCCTGAGGCCAGAGAAGGTTTGTAGTACTGTGATAATGTGTACCCCCCACTGAGATATATCCCTGAGGCCAGAGAAGGTTTGTAGTTCTGTGATAATGTGTACGCTCCCACTGAGATATATCCCTGAGGCCAGAGAAGGTTTGTAGTACTGTGATAATGTGTACGCCCCACTGAGATATATCCCTGAGGCCAGAGAAGGTTTGTAGTTCTGTGATAATGTGTACGCTCCCACTGAGATATATCCCTGAGGCCAGAGAAGGTTTGTAGTACTGTGATAATGTGTACGCCCCACAGAGATATATCCCTGAGGCCAGAGAAGGTTTGTAGTTCTGTGATAATGTGTACGCCCCACTGAGATATATCCCTGAGGCCAGAGAAGGTTTGTAGTTCTGTGATAATGTGTACGCCTCACTGAGATATATCCCCGAGGCCAGAGAAGGTTTGTAGTTCTGTGATAATGTGTACGCCCCACTGAGATATATTCCTGAGGCCAGAGAAGGTTTGTAGTTCTGTGAGAATGTGTATGCACACAGAATGTCCCTGTGTTACATGTCTACATATATGGTCTTTCAGTAAATAATATCAATTTTAGATCTACATGTATATGGTATGTAAAACATCATATTATGTGTGGATGTAAATGGTATTTTAAACATCATATTATGTGTGGATGTATACAGTGTTTGAAGCATCATATTATATGTGGATGTATATAGTGTTAGAAACATCATATTATATGTGGATGTATATAGTGTTAGAAACATCATATTATATGTGGATGTATATAGTGTTAGAAACATCATATTATGTGTGGATGTATATAGTGTTAGAAACATCATATTATATGTGGATGTATATAGTGTTAGAAACATCATATTATCTGAGGATGTATATAGTGTTTGAAGCATCATATTATATGAGGATGTATATAGTGTTAGAAACATCATATTATATGTGGATGTATATAGTGTTAGAAACATCATATTATATGTGGATGTATATAGTGTTTGAAGCATCATATTATATGGGGATGTATATAGTGTTAAAAACATCATATTATATGTGGATGTATATAGTGTTAGAAACATCATATTATATGTGGATGTATATAGTGTTTGAAGCATCATATTATATGGGGATGTATATAGTGTTAGAAACATCATATTATATGTGGATGTATATAGTGTTAGAAACATCATATTATATGTGGATGTATATAGTGTTAGAAACATCATATTATGTGTGGATGTATATAGTGCTTGAAGCATCACATTATATTGGGATGTATATAGTGTTAGAAACATCATATTATATGTGGATGTATATAGTGTTAGAAACATCATATTATATGTGGATGTATATAGTGTTTGAAGCATCATATTATATGGGGATGTATATAGTGTTAAAAACATCATATTATATGTGGATGTATATAGTGTTAGAAACATCATATTATATGTGGATGTATATAGTGTTTGAAGCATCATATTATATGGGGATGTATATAGTGTTAGAAACATCATATTATATGTGGATGTATATAGTGTTAGAAACATCATAATATATGTGGATGTATATAGTGTTTGAAGCATCATATTATATGTGGATGTATATAGTGTTAGAAACATCATATTATATGTGGATGTATATAGTGTTAGAAACATCATATTATATGTGGATGTATATAGTGTTAGAAACATCATATTATATGTGGATGTATATAGTGTTTGAAGCATCATATTATATGTGGATGTATATAGTGTTAAAAACATCATATTATATGTGGATGTATATAGTGTTAGAAACATCATATTATATGTGAATGTATATAGTGTTAGAAACATCATATTATATGTGGATGTATATGGTGTTAGAAACATCATATTATGTGTGGATGTATATAGTGTTAAAAACATCATATTATATGGGGATGTATATAGTGTTAGAAACATCATATTATATGTGGATGTATATAGTGTTAGAAACATCATATTATATGTGGATGTATATGGTGTTAAAAACATCATATTATGTGTGGATGTATATAGTGTTAGAAACATCATATTGTATGTGGATGTATATAGTGTTTGAAGCAACATATTCTAATGGACTGTTTAACAGATAAAAGTGAACAGAACCATGGGTACAGACATTTGGTTATTGAACACATTCAACTTCAAGTTGATCAAGCTGTCCATGTTAACAGCAATGACTGGTCTGTACGCCCCACATGATACAGTACACACACGTATAAAATGAATGCTCTCTTCCCACCACACACCCCACATGATACAGTACACACACGTATAAAATGAATGCTCTCTTCCCACCACACACTCCACATGATACAGTACACACACGTATAAAATCAATGCTCTCTTCCCACCTCACACCCCACATAATACAGTACACACACGTATAAAATGAATGCTCTCTTCCTACCACATACCCCACATGATACAGTACACACACATATAAAATAAATGCTCTCTTCCCACCACACACCCCACATGATACAGTACACACACGTATAAAATGATTGCTTCCTTCCCACCACACACCACACATGATACAGTACACACACGTATAAAATGAATGCTCTCTTTCCACCACACACCCCACATGATACAGTACACACACGTATAAAATGAATGCTCTCTTCCCACCACACACCCCACATGATACAGTACACACGCATATAAAATGAATGCTCTCTTCCCACCACACACCCCACATGATACAGTACACACACGTATAAAATGAATGCTCTCTTCCCACCACACACCCCACATAATACAGTACTCACACGTATAAAATGAATGCTCTCTTCCCACCACACACCCCACATGATACAGTACACACACGTATAAAATGAATGCTCTCTTCCCACCACACACCCCACATGATACAGTACACACACATGTAAATTGAATGCTCTCTTCCCACCACACACCCCTCATGATACAGTACACACATGTATAAATTGAATGCTCTCTTCCCACCACACACCCCACATGATACAGTACACACATGTATAAAATGAATGCTCTCTTCCCACCACACACCCCACATGATACAGTACATACACATATAAAATGAATGCTCTCTTCCCACCACGCACCCCACATGATACAGTACACACACGTATAAAATGAATGCTCTCTTCCCACCACACACCCCACAAACACACTCACCCACACACACATACACCCCCACTCACACCCACCTACCCACACTCGCACATACACATACACACACATACACACCCACTCACACAGTCCTATGACCTGTCCTCTACGTCACTCCCAACCTCCTAGACACAGATGTGGGGTTTATCATCTGGGGGAGGGGGGGGGGTATTTGTGAATGGGTGTGTGTGTGTGAGTGCATGTGGGCTGGGAAGGGGGTGGGTTGTGTGGGGGAGGGCTGTGGGATTCATTGTCCTGTGTATGTGGTCCTGTCCGCTACTTCCCTCCCAGCCTCCTAGACACAGGTGTGGGATTCATTGTCCTGTGTATGTGGTCCTGTCCTTTACTTTCCTCCCAGCCTCTTAGACACAGATGTGGGATTCATTGTCCTGTGTATGTGATCCTGTCCTTTACTTCCCTCCCAGCCTCCTAGACACAGATGTGGGATTCTTTGTCCTGTGTATGTGGTCCTGTCCTTTACTTCCCTCCCAGCCTCCTAGGCACAGATGTGGGATTCTTTGTCTGTGTATGTGGTCCTGTCCTCTACTTCCCTCCCAGCCTCTCTACTTCTCTCTTAGCCTCCTGGGCACAGATATGGGGATTCATCATCCAGTGTGTACCCAACCTTCTATCTTCTGGACACGGATGTGTAGGTTCATCATCAAGTGTGTCCATAACTTTCTATCTCCTGGACACGGATGTTAGGTTCATCATCCAGTGTGCCCATAATCTTCTATCTCCTGGACACAGATGTGTAGGTTCATCATCCAGTATGTCCATAATCTTCTATCTCCTGGACACAGATGTGTAGGTTCATCATCCAGTGTGTCCATAATCTTCTATCTCCTGGACACAGATGTGTAGGTTCATCATCCAGTGTGTCCATAACCTTCTATCTCCTGGACACAGATGTGTAGGTTCATCATCAAGTATGTCCATAACCTTCTATCTCCTGAACACGGATGTGTAGGTTCATCATTCAGTGTGTACCCAACCTTCTGTCTACTGGACACAGATGTGGGAGGTTTGTCGTTCAGTGTCTCCCCAACCTTCTGTCTGATATTTATCTTCTTTATTTATGTGTACTCTTTATTTCCATAACAAAATAACTGTTCATGATTTCAAACCTTATAGTATGTTCTGTCTTTCAGATATGTACAATGGCAAAACAGAGGAATGGCAAAGAAATGTGTACATAAATGATATGACAGAAGAGAAAATCGATAATTGTTCAACTGAAGTCAATCCTTCAGTGTCACTTCCTGTACATTTAGCGAATGCTGGACTTGACCTTCAGCGACCTTTTACTGCTATTATCGACAAAGAGCTAGCTTATCAGCGACAGTTACTGGCATTGACAGTAGACAGTGCCAGTCGTGACGTACTCCGCAGGCAGGTTGACCACAACCAGACTAACCTGGTTCCTCAGACTGACTACCACCTGGCTACAGCAGCAACTGAGTGCCCACAATTACCTGCCGAGAAAAGCGAGATCTTTGCCCGGTTCATGCAGAGCCAGGTGACAGTTCCCGACAGTGGGAGCGTGCCGCTGGGCAATCTGCGCGGTTCTGACAATTTAGCGTCAGTCACTTATAAACCCACAGTTCATCCAGCTGGGGACTGTGGGGTCAAGGTTACTGAGGGCGACCATGAACTGCCAAGAAAATGGAGACATGGTGCTCCGGGAGCTAAGAAAAGAAAACCACCACCTGCAAGTTATGGCCCCTTGCATGCTCCAATTATGTCCAGCACACAGAAGAGTTCTGAGTTTGGAGACTGTCTCTCTGTCAACTCGTCAATACACGTGGACAACAGAAAACTGGCAGTCAGGCAACAGAGGCCTGGCCTTGTAGAGGAGACAGTAGATAATGAGGAAGATGATGAGAACAATGTAGCGGATCAGCATTATCATAAAAACATGGAGGTGAAAAACAGCCAGAATGGTCACCTGAAAATGTTGCACAAAGACAAGAACAGAAAAGAAAAACGTGAAGTGGGGAAACACTCTGTACCTGTTGCAAGCAGAAAGTTTGTGGACAAGTACAGACAGGTTTGTTGCAGGTTGTGTGTGTGTGGACAAGTACAAACAGGTTTGTTGCAGGTTGTGTGTGTGTGTGTGTGTGTGTGGACAAGTACAAACAGGTTTGTTGCAGGTTGTGTGTGTGTGTGTGTGGACAAGTACAAACAGGTTTGTTGCAGGTTGTGTGTGTGTGTACAAGTACAAACAGGTTTGTTGCAGGTAGTGTGTGTGTGGACAAGTACAAACAGGTTTGTAGCAGGTTGTGTGTGTGTGTGTGTGTGTGTACAAGTACAAACAGGTTTGTTGCAGGTTGTGTGTGTGCGGACAAGTACAGACAGGTTTGTTGCAGGTTGTGTGTGTGTGTGGACAAGTACAGATAGGTTTGTTGCAGGTTGTGTGTGTGGAGACAAGTACAAACAGGTTTGTTGCAGGTTGTGTGTGTGTGTGTGGACAATTACAGACAGGTTTGTTGCAGGTTGTATATGTGTGTGGACAAGTACAAACAGGTTTGTTGCAGGTTGTGTGTGTGCATGCATGCATTTGTTTGTATGTGTCTGTGTGTGTGTATATGAGAGAGCGAATGCATGCATGCATGTGTTTGTGTCAGTGAGTGCGGGTATGCAAACATTGTCTTATAAACTTTGTTCCGTATAGGTGTTTGGGGAATGTGAAAGGTATAATTGTACCACAATTTCTACACTAATGAGGTAATGTCTACACTGATGAGGTAATGTCTACACTGATGGGGTCATGTCTACACTGATGGGGTAATGTCTACACTGATGGGGTAATGTCTACACTGATGGCTTAATGTCTACACTGATGGGGTAATGTCTACACTGATAGGGTAATGTCTACACTGATAGGGTAATGTCTACACTGATAGGGTAATGTCTACACTGATGAGGTAATGTCTACACTGATGGGGTAATGTCTACACTGATGGGGTAATGTCTACACTGATGGGGTAATGTCTACACTGATGGAGTAATGTCTACACTGATGGGGTAATGTCTACACTGATGGGGTTATGTCTACACTGATGAGGTAATGTCTACACTGATGGGGTAATGTCTACACTGATGGGGTTATGTCTACACTGATGAGGTAATGTCTACACTGATGGGGTAATGTCTACACTGATGGGGTTATGTCTACACTGATGAGGTAATGTCTACACTGATGGGGTAATGTCTACACTGATGGGGTTATGTCTACACTGATGAGGTTATGTCTGCACTGATGGGGTTATGTCTACACTGATAGGGTAATGTCTACACTGATGGGGTAATGTCTACACTGATGGGGTAATGTCTACACTGATGGGGTAATGTCTACACTGATGGGGTAATGTCTACACTGATGGGGTAATGTCTACACTGATGGGGTAATGTCTACACTGATGAGGTAATGTCTACTCTGATGGGGTAATGTCTACACTAATGGCTATTGTCTGTAACCGTTGTGGGTATTATCACTGTCTACTTGTGGGTATTGTTCACTGTCTACTTGTGGGTATTGTTCACTGTCTACTTGTGGGTATTGTTCACTGTCTACTTGTGGGTATTGTTCACTGTCTACTTGTGGGTATTGTTCACTGTCTACTTGTGGGTATTGTTCACTGTCTACTTGTGGGTATTGTTCACTGTCTACTTGTGGGTATTGTTCACTGTCTACTTGTGGGTATTGTTCACTGTCTACTTGTGGGTATTGTTCACTGTCTACTTGTGGGTATTGTTCACTGTCTACTTGTGGGTATTGTTCACTGTCTACTTGTGGGTATTGTTCACTGTCTACTTGTGGGTGTATGCCAGAAACTTCTGCAAGTGTTCTAGTACTAGAAGCCCGTTTTCCTGTATGTGACCTCTCCCTGTCTGACCTGACACATGTTCCAACAGCTTGTCTGTAATATTTGTCTTATTGTTTGTAGTTGTCAGCAATCGAGCGAAAGACTCAGTTGCTGAAGCAGAGGTCCCTTCTGTTGGAGGAGCAGCTGCGACTTAAGACAATCCTGGCAGAGCAGCAGCAACAGATGCAGGTCAGTCCTGGTGTGCTTAGTGCTGGTGTGCTCAGTGCTGGTGTGCTCAGTGTTGGTGTGCTCGGTGCTGGTGTGCTTGGTGTTGGTGTGCTTGGTGTTGGTGTGCTCAGTGCTGGTGTGCTCAGTGCTGGTGTGCTCAGTGTTGGAGTGCTCGGTGCTGTTCATATTTTTAACATTTACTTTATTCTGTTTGTAAATCAGTGCCATTGTAATGAGGGGAATTTCCACAGGTGTTTTCTAATGACATGATAAGGCAAAACATAGGTTAAGAGAAGAACACGTGAGAACATAAAGACTAGTGAAAACACAAAGTATATGAAGAGTGCTCATGTGACACAAGGGACCCAGAATGAGGGTTGAAAGATTGTGTGTGATTCGCAGCCCGAGTGGGAGGTTGTTTTTTTAGAGAGCGTGAATGTGACATTGTATAATTGGACAACCTGGAGGAGATTGAATTCTATGAGATGACCACCTAGCCACAATCCAGTCAAGTTGACACGCAACCTGACAGTAAACAGCCAGTGATTGGAGATGCTTGCTCGGCGCCTGTGTGTGTGGCATGTTTGATACATGAGGATTGGAGATGCTTGCTGGGCGCCTGTAAGTGGGGAGTGTTTGATACATGAGGATTGGAGATGCTTGCTGGGCGCCTGTAAGTGGGGAGTGTTTGATACATGAGGATTGGAGATGCTTGCTCGGCGCCTGTAAGTGGGGAGTGTTTGATACATGAGGATTGGAGATGCTTGCTGGGCGCCTGTAAGTGGGGAGTGTTTGATACATGAGGATTGGAGATGCTTGCTGGGCGCCTGTAAGTGGGGAGTGTTTGATACATGAGGATTGGAGATGCTTGCTCGGCGCCTGTAAGTGGGGAGTGTTTGATACATGAGGATTGGAGATGCTTGCTGGGCGCCTGTAAGTGGGGAGTGTTTGATACATGAGGATTGGAGATGCTTGCTGGGCGCCTGTAAGTGGGGAGTGTTTGATACATGAGGATTGGAGATGTTTGCTTGGCGCCTGTGTGTGTGTGGGGTGATTGATACATGAGGATTGGAGATGCTTGCTCAGCGCCTGTGTGTGTATGGTGTGATTGATACATGAGGATTGGAGATGTTTGCTCGGCGCCTGTGTGTGTGTGGCGTGATTGATACATGAGGATTGGAGATGCTTGCTCGGCGCCTGTGTGTGTGTGGCGTGATTGATAAATGAGGATTGGAGATGCTTACTCGGCGCCTGTGTGTGTGTGGCATGATTGATAAATGAGGATCGGAGATGCTTACTCGGCGCCTGTGTGTGTGTGGCATGATTGATAAATGAGGATTGGAGATGCTTGCTCGGCGCCTGTGTGTGTGTGTGGCGTGATTGATAAATGAGCCCACATACCTAGGAGTCACATTTGATGACAGGTTGACATGGAGAAAACATATCAACAAGGCAGCAACCAAAGCCAGGAGGAAGACAGCAATACTAAGAAAACTAAGTGGAACCACATGGGGAGCAGATGGGAAAGATACTCAATAAAGTATACAAGCAGAGCATACTTCCACACTTGGAATATGGGTCAACTGCATGGTGTTCAGCATCTAGTACCACATTAAAGGAGTTAGACAAAGTGCAAAATCAAGCGCTCAGAGTCATCACAGGAGGGATGAAATCAACCCCCATATTAGAAATGGAGAAAGCTGGGAAAACACAGGCACTGAGAGAACGTAGAGATACAAAGTTGCAAATACAAGCTGAAAAGTTCCTCAGTATGCCAGATCACCCGATGGAAAATAGATTTAAGAACCTAGCCTTGGGACGGTTAAAAAGAAGCAGCTTTATACACCAAGCAAAAAGAATATGTAGACAAACTCCTGACCTTCCAGAAATTGGCTGCCCACTAAAAAGTATTCCGGAACAAACCCCATGGAGAGAAAAATGTAAACTAACGGTACAAATCCAGACAAATGTGAAAGGGATATTTGACAAGAAAGAGCAAGATAGTGTACAACGCAAAATGGCCACCCTCAGTTATATTGATGAAGAATACCCACAAGAACAATGGGTCAGAGTCTATACAGATGGGTCCGCAGAAAGTGCAGTTAGAAATGGTGGTGCTGGAGTGTACATCGAATTCCCAGATGGTACTAGGGATAAGTCCAGCGTACCAACCGGGAAGTACTGCCATAACTACGATGTAGAAACCCAGGCTATTAAGATAGCTACAGAGAAACTGCTAAATACCAACCTTGGCTCACAGTATGTGGTAATGCCTACAGATGCTAAATCAGTACTTGAAGCACTCCAGTCTAGGAAACTACCAGAATTGCAAACACTGCTGACACAACTCAGCGCTCAGCGAAGAGTCGTAATGCAGTGGATACCGTCTCATTGTGGAGTGCCTGGAAATGAGAAAGCTGATCAACTGGCAGGGGAAGGTGCGAAAAAAGAGCAGCCAGATGTACCAGTCACATACCACCAAAAGAAAAGAATCATTAAATCGATCAGGAAACCACCAGCCCCAGCACAAGACGACTATTTTATTATGGACAGACCAGAACAAGTCATTATCTTCCGCCTCAGAACAGGGCACAACCGATTATGTAACCACATGTACACAAAATTCAAGATAGGTGTATCAGCCATGTGCACCTGTGGAAATGTGCCCCAGACCGCAGAGCATGTACTCCAGGACTGCACCGAATTTGACACATTAAGGCAAACCTTTTGGCCAGAAAGAACAACAGTGGAACGTAAACTCTATGGACCACTGAATGAACTAACAACGACAGTGAAATTTATACAAGAGACAAAACTGCTGATATAGATAACTTATTTCAGGCGAACGAAAGAAGAAGAAGAAGAAGGTGGGGGTGGGTGGGGGGATTGGGTGGGTGGGTGGAAAGTGTTTTTTACTCTGTAAAAGATATAAACCTGAATGAAAAGTATATCAGTGAACTTCACAGTATAACAAACACTAACAAAACCTGAACAAAAAGTATATCAGTGAACTTCACAGTATAACAAACACTAACAAAACCTGAAAGAAAAGTATATCAGTGAACTTCACAGTATAACAAACACTAACAAAACCTGAAAGAAAAGTATATCAGTGAACTTCACAGTATAACAAACACTAACTAAACCTGAAAGAAAAGTATATCAGTGAACTTCACAGTATAACAAACACTAACAAAACCTGAAAGAAAAGTATATCAGTGAACTTCACAGTATAACAAACACTAACAAAACCTGAAAGAAAATTTTATCAGTGAACTTCACAATATAACAAACACTAACAAAACCTGAACATTATGGCTATGGAGACTTCATCAGCACATACACAAATTAAACAATACTACACAAATAAACAGTATCACTTATCTTCGTATCTCGAAGCAGCCAGGTCGGTGTCTAGCCAACAAACTTGGGGACACGTTGGAAGGGGAAAATAAATATCCCTGGGAAAGCCAGGGGCCGGTACTTGAGAAATTATTTATTATAAATTGTTAATCTGTGTTGTTGTCTCTGATGAAAGTGTTTATTAATCTGTTTCATTGTCACTTATGAAAGTGCTTATTACTCTGTGTCATTGTCTCTGATGAAAGTGTTTATTACTCGGTGTCATTGTCTCTGATGAAAGTGCTTATTACTCGGTCTCATTGTCTCTGATGAAAGTGTTTATTACTCTGTGTCATTGTCACTTATGAAAGTGTTATTACTCTGTGTCATTGTCTCTGATAAAAGTGTTTACTACTCTGTATCATTGTCACTTATGTAGTTGTTCATTACTCTGATTAAAGTGTGTATTACTCTGTGTCATTGTCACTTATGAAAGTGTTTTTACTCTGTCATTGTCTCTAATTAAGCGTTTATTACTCTTTATCATTGTCTCTAATAAAGTGTTTATTACTCTGTATCATTGTGACTTATGAAAGTGTTTATTACTCTGATTAAAGTGTTGATTACTCTGTGTCATTGTCTCTAATAAAAGTGTTTATTACTCTGTATCATTGTCACTTATGAAAGTGTTTATTACTCTGATTGAAGTGTGTATTACTGTTTGTCATTGTGACTTATGAAAGTGTTTATTATGCTGTGTCATTGTCTCTGATTAAAGTGTTTATTGGTGTCATTGTCTCTGATTAAAGTGTTTATAGGTGTCATTGTCTCTGATGAAACTGTGTGTAGTGGTCCCTTTGGGCATTGTGTAAGAGATTGTGCCCTGGTGCTGGAGGCAAGACTCCACTAACCTCACCAGGGCTTGAACCCTGACACATCAGAAGACTCCACTAACCTCACCAGGGCTTGAACCCTGACACATCAGACATAAACGTTGAAGCTCTGTCTCTCAAAGCTGATACAAACAGACCTCAATTGACTAGTTTGAGCAAGATGGCCTGATTGCATATTTTATTTGCAGATCAACAGACAAGTGGCTGTGGTACCCACACAACAGAGAACTTTGGAGCCGGACAGCAGAGCATGTGTGGAGGTGAGGGAGCATGGTGCTAGTTGTGTGGTTGAGTTTTTTAATCTGACATCAACATCAGGCCTGGTGTAGCCATCATTTCTCAACATGATTACAGTGTACTTCTTCAGGATGGCCAAGTCACTTTGCAGAAAAGCTGCAGTTGTCCCAGTACACAGCAACAGTGACAAATCACACACAGGACTCTGTGATAAACAGGCTGCAACACACACAGAACTCTGTGATAAATAGGCTGCAACACACACAGAACTCTGTGATAAACAGGCTGCAATACACACAGGACTCTGTGATAAAATGGCTGCAACACACACAGAACTCTGTGATAAACAGGCTGCAACACACACAGAACTCTGTGATAAACAGGCTGCAACACACACAGGACTCTGTGATAAACAGGCTGCAACACACACAGGACTCTGTGATAAACAGACTGCAACACACACAGGACTCTATGATAAACAGGCTGCAACACACACAGAACTCTGTGATAAACAGGCTGCAACACACACAGAACTCTGTGATAAACAGGCTGCAACACATTTAATGGCTATTCCAGGCTGTGTTGTCTATCCTCTGTCATTGTTTGTTTTCTGGGTAACAATATAGAGAGCTTTTAGCTCAACTATCAGACAGTGCTCATCATTACTCACACTTCAGAATCTCCCTCATTCATGCACATTTCCCAAACAGTCGCTGGCAAGCTCTGGTTCTCCTTGAAAACCATCAGTAAACATTGCTAGCTGTCATCGCTGGTGCATCCATCTTGACAATAACGGTATGGCTAGATATTTATTGCCACTGTAGGTTGCTTGGGTTGATTCAACTCTCAGATTCACTCAGATTCACTTAGATTCACTTGACCACTTGACTCATCCCAGTGCCAAACACAGAATAATCCTTGGTTCTTTCACAATTCTGATCATCCGTTCAGTTTGCACACATTTCGCTAGCATTGGTCACTTATTCTTGTGTTTCACAACAGTCATGCTAACCTCTTGATTTTCTCTCCTAAACCCCGCCCCTTACACATACTTGATACCAAAAAGATGTTTGTCTCAGATCATCTACATTCGATCTCAAGTGTCTCATTACAATGATTTGAACTGTAACACTTGCATTTTATCTGTCTTGATAGTCACTCATGAACAACTTATTCAAGACAAATTGATACGATGGTCCTCCCTTGATTTTAACATTCCTCTTGTGATGATGCGCACACTGTCAGTGGTCTTGAGTTGGTAGTGTGATGATGCGCACACTGTCAGTGGTCTTGAGGTGGTAGTGTGATGATGTCAGTGGTCTTGAGGTGGTAGTGTGATGATGCGCACACTGTCAGTGGTCTTGAGGTGGATAGTGGTGTTCATGATGCGCAACACTGTCAGTGGTCTTGAGTTGGTAGTGTGATGATGCGCACACTGTCAGTGGTCTTGAGTTGGTAGTGTGATGATGTCAGTGGTCTTGAGGTGGTAGTGTGATGATGTCAGTGGTCTTGAGGTGGTAGTGTGATGATGCGCACACTGTCAGTGGTCTTGAGTTGGTAGTGTGATGATGCGCACACTGTCAGTGGTCTTGAGTTGGTAGTGTGATGATGTCAGTGGTCTTGAGGTGGTAGTGTGATGATGCGCACACTGTCAGTGGTCTTGAGTTGGTAGTGTGATGATGCGCACACTGTCAGTGGTCTTGAGTTGGTAGTGTGATGATGCGCACACTGTCAGTGGTCTTGAGTTGGTAGTGTGATGATGCGCACACTGTCAGTGGTCTTGAGTTGGTAGTGTGATGATGCGCACACTGTCAGTGGTCTTGAGTTGGTAGTGTGATGATGCGCACACTGTCAGTGGTCTTGAGTTGGTAGTGTGATGATGCGCACACTGTCAGTGGTCTTTGAGTTGGTAGTGTGATGATGCGCACACTGTCAGTGGTCTTGAGTTGGTAGTGTGATGATGCGCACACTGTCAGTGGTCTTGAGTTGGTAGTGTGATGATGCGCACACTGTCAGTGGTCTTGAGTTGGTAGTGTGATGATGCGCACACTGTCAGTGGTCTTGAGGTGGTAGTGTGATGATGCCGCACACTGTCAGTGGTCTTGAGGTGGTAGTGTGATGATGCGCACACTGTCAGTGGTCTTGAGGTGGTAGTGTGATGATGCGCACACTGTCAGTGGTCTTGAGGTTGGTAGTGTGATGATGCGCACACTGTCAGTGGTCTTGAGGTGGTAGTGTGATGATGCGCACACTGTCAGTGGTCTTGAGGTGGTAGTGTGATGATGCGCACACTGTCAGTGGTCTTGAGGTGGTAGTGTGATGATGCGCACACTGTCAGTGGTCTTGAGTTGGTAGTGTGATGATGCGCACACTGTCAGTGGTCTTGAGTTGGTAGTGTGATGATGCGCACACTGTCAGTGGTCTTGAGTTGGTAGTGTGATGATGCGCACACTGTCAGTGGTCTTGAGGTGGTAGTGTGATGATGCGCACACTGTCAGTGGTCTTGAGGTGGTAGTGTGATGATGCGCACACAGGTGTCAGTGGTCTTGAGGTGGTAGTGTGATGATGCGCACACTGGTCTTGAGGTGTCAGTGGGTCTTGAGTTGGTAGTGTGATGATGCGCACACTGTCAGTGGTCTTGAGTTGGTAGTGTGATGATGTCAGTGGTCTTGAGTTGGTAGTGTGATGATGCGCACACTGTCAGTGGTCTTGAGTTGGTAGTGTGATGATGCGCACACTGTCAGTGGTCTTGAGTTGGTAGTGTGATGATGCGCACACTGTCAGTGGTCTTGAGTTGGTAGTGTGATGATGCGCACACTGTCAGTGGTCTTGAGGTGGTAGTGTGATGATGCGCACACTGTCAGTGGTCTTGAGGTGGTAGTGTGATGATGCGCACACTGTCAGTGGTCTTGAGGTGGTAGTGTGATGATGCGCACACTGTCAGTGGTCTTGAGTTGGTAGTGTGATGATGTCAGTGGTCTTGAGTTGGTAGTGTGATGATGCGCACACTGTCAGTGGTCTTGAGTTGGTATGTCAGTGTGATGATGCGCACACTGTCAGTGGTCTTGAGGTGGTAGTGTGATGATGCGCACACTGTCAGTGGTCTTGAGGTGGTAGTGTGATGATGCGCACACTGTCAGTGGTCTTGAGGTGGTAGTGTGATGATGCGCACACTGTCAGTGGTCTTGAGTTGGTAGTGTGATGATGCGCACACTGTCAGTGGTCTTGAGTTGGTAGTGTGATGATGCGCACACTGTCAGTGGTCTTGAGTTGGTAGTGTGATGATGCGCACACTGTCAGTGGTCTTGAGTTGGTAGTGTGATGATGCGCACACTGTCAGTGGTCTTGAGGTGGTAGTGTGATGATGCGCACACTGTCAGTGGTCTTGAGTTGGTAGTGTGATGATGCGCACACTGTCAGTGGTCTTGAGTTGGTAGTGTGATGATGCGCACCACTGTCAGTGGTCTTGAGTTGGTAGTGTGATGATGCGCACACTGTCAGTGGTCTTGAGGTGGTAGTGTGATGATGCGCACACTGTCAGTGGTCTTGAGTTGGTAGTGTGATGATGCGCACACTGTCAGTGGTCTTGAGTTGGTAGTGTGATGATGCGCACACTGTCAGTGGTCTTGAGTTGGTAGTGTGATGATGCGCACACTGTCAGTGGTCTTGAGGTGGTAGTGTGATGATGCGCACACTGTCAGTGGTCTTGAGGTGGTAGTGTGATGATGCGCACACTGTCAGTGGTCTTGAGTTGGTAGTGTGATGATGCGCACACTGTCAGTGGTCTTGAGGTGGTAGTGTGATGATGCGCACACTGTCAGTGGTCTTGAGGTGGTAGTGTGATGATGTCAGTGGTCTTGAGGTGGTAGTGTGATGATGCGCACACTGTCAGTGGTCTTGAGGTGGTAGTGTGATGATGCGCACACTGTCAGTGGTCTTGAGGTGGTAGTGTGATGATGTCAGTGGTCTTGAGGTGGTAGTGTGATGATGTCAGTGGTCTTGAGTTGGTAGTGTGATGATGTCAGTGGTCTTGAGTTGGTAGTGTGATGATGTCAGTGGTCTTGAGGTGGTAGTGTGATGATGTCAGTGGTCTTGAGGTGGTAGTGTGATGATGTCAGTGGTCTTGAGTTTTGTGGTAGTGTGTGATGATGTCAGTGGTCTTGAGGTGGTAGTGTGATGATGTCAGTGGTCTTGAGGTGGTAGTGTGATGATGTCAGTGGTCTTGAGTTGGTAGTGTGATGATGTCAGTGGTCTTGAGGTGGTAGTGTGATGATGTCAGTGGTCTTGAGGTGGTAGTGTGATGATGTCAGTGGTCTTGAGGTTGTAGTGTAGTGTGATGATGTCAGTGGTCTTGAGGTGGTAGTGTGATGATGTCAGTGGTCTTGAGTTGGTAGTGTGATGATGTCAGTGGTCTTGAGGTGGTAGTGTGATGATGTCAGTGGTCTTGAGGTGGTAGTGTGATGATGTCAGTGGTCTTGAGGTGGTAGTGTGATGATGTCAGTGGTCTTGAGGTGGTAGTGTGATGATGTCAGTGGTCTTGAGGTGGTAGTGTGATGATGTCAGTGGTCTTGAGGTGGTAGTGTGATGATGTCAGTGGTCTTGAGGTGGTAGTGTGATGATGTCAGTGGTCTTGAGGTGTTAGTGTGATGATGTCAGTGGTCTTGAGGTGGTAGTGTGATGATGTCAGTGGTCTGGAGTTGGTAGTGTGATGATGTCAGTGGTCTTGAGTTGGTAGTGTGATGATGTCAGTGGTCTTGAGGTGGTAGTGTGATGATGTCAGTGGTCTTGAGGTGGTAGTGTGATGATGTCAGTGGTCTTGAGTTGGTAGTGTGATGATGTCAGTGGTCTTGAGTTGGTAGTGTGATGATGTCAGTGGTCTTGAGGTGGTAGTGTGATGATGTCAGTGGTCTTGAGTTGGTAGTGTGATGATGTCAGTGGTCTTGAGGTGGTAGTGTGATGATGTCAGTGGTCTTGAGGTGGTAGTGTGATGATGTCAGTGGTCTTGAGTTGGTAGTGTGATGAT